TGGGGCATGCTTGGAACAAACCACAGCATGGGAATTGCAGGCAAGTGCTGCCTCCAGAGCAGGGAGGAGGGACAGCACAGGCTGGGAGAGACTTGCACAGGGTTTGCTGGTAGTTAAAGCAGAAAACCAGGTGAGACTAAATTAGGCAAGAGGTGTGACTTGTGGCTACAGGGGGAGGAAATAGGCACTGTTTTCCTTTTATCCATGTTTTTCTCAGTGGTCTGGTAGCAGCACTGCTGGGCATAAGCTCCAGGAGGCAGAAAACAGTCCAGACCTGCAACCTGCAAGTACAGGATACTCTTTGTAGGATAATCATTGTACCTCCTGCCACGTTCAGGTGCTGGGGCAGGCAGAATGGTGAGGAGGTGACAGTCTTAGGAAGCAGAGGGGATCTGTGGTGTAAATACCAAGGAAATTCACATCTCTGTCTCCAGTATCTGTTCATTCACTGTGGTTTATTTTCTAATGAATAGAACCTTCAGCCTCCAGTCTGTGGTGAAGAGTGTGGCTCTGAAGGAATTGTTCCTTTTGACTCCACACTAGACCCAGATCCACATCTCTGTATCTCTCTGACAGGAGGTTGGAGCCAGGTGGGGGTTCTGAGCAACCTGTGCCGGTGACTCTTCTCCCAGGGAACAAGTGACAGGACAAGAGGAAATGGCCTAAAGTTGTACCGGGGGAGGTTTTGGTTGGATATTCAAGGAAAATTTCTTCATGGAAAGGGTTGTCCAGCACTGGCACAGGCTGCCCAGGGCAGTGGTGGAGTCACCATCCCTGAAGGGATTTAATGGCCCTGTGGATGTGGCACTTGGGGACGTGGTTAGTGGTGGCCTTGGCAGTGCTGGGAAATGGTTGGACTCAGTGCTCTTAGAGGCCTTTTCCAACCTTAACAATTCTGCGATTCTAAGATCTATTTTGTCTTGGCACAGGAATTCCTGAAATGTATTGGAGTTGCTGTGCAACTGTTATATGGCTCTAACCACTACACACAGAAATACTTTTATCTTCTCTGGTATCAGTGAACTGAGTTATTGCTTGAGGTGATGATCCCATTGGAGGAGGAAGGGGAACCAGCTGGGAAGTGGGAAGAGATGGCTTTAGGAATCTCATCTTTAGATGAGTGTGAAGGGAGCAGCCATGCTTGTGAGGCTCTGGGCTGAGCAGCAAAGTGTAAATGGAGGTGTGAGGGTATCTCCTGGTCATGGAAGGGCTGATTCCCTAGGCAGGTCAGTCCAGTTTTCTTGTCTTCTTTCACCTAGTGTTCTACAACATGTCAAAATGTTACCCAGAGCTTCTGACTGCTCTTAATGCCTGCTGGAATCTGTCACTCCCTTCACCTTTCTCACAAACTGCCCAAAAATGTTTTGAGGAAAAAGCTTAAGTGGTGGCTTGATTTTGAATAAGTTCTTTGGTTGCAAATACTTGTTCTCTGGTGGTACCAGAATGAGTCAGACTGCACATTTCTGCTCTGATCCCTCAGTCGAGCTCATTCCCTGTTTTAGGAGGAATCATTAGTTACTTTGGTTGCAGAGGTGTCTAACAGCTCCTGCTGGGATGTGCCCCAGCCCCACCAGAGCAGGGGCTGCCCTGAGGGTCCTGGAGCTCCCAGAGGAGCTGTGCCTGTACATAAATAAAAGCACAGTACTCAGCCCAGAGAGCTGTGCCTCAGTATGTCATCAGCCTTGATTGCTGGAGCAAATGTGCAGCACTAATTCCAAGGTCTTCCTTTGGGAGATGAATTTAACGGAATTAGTGATGCAGACAACATTCTCTTAATTCTCAGTGTTAATTAACGCCGTCAGTGTTGCACAGGACAACACACTGCAGGGAGGGTCCAGCCCTGGGCCTTTGACTCAGAACTGGGACAGAGGGAAACAAACAAGTCCCACAGATTTTATTAGTGGTTTAATGTTCCTGTTAGCTGCAGGAAGCAAGGCTGGGAGTTCAGGGCTGGGACCCTTGGGAGCTGGCTGAGGGACTGCCTGGGGCTTCAGGGAAAAACAAGTTTCTGGGTTATTTGGCATTTTGCCCTTTTTCACACCTGCAGGTATCTACATCTCCCTGACTGGAGGTTGGAGCCAGGTGGGGGTTGGTCTCTGCTCCAAGGTTACAAGGGACAGGACGAGAGGAAACAGCCTCAAGTTGTACCACAGGAGGTTTAGGTTGGATATTAGAGTAAATTTCTTCATGGAAAGGACTATCCAACCCTGGCACAGTCTGCCCAGGGCAGTGGTGGAGACACCATCCCTGGAGGGGTTTAAAACCCATGAGGATTTGGCACTTGGGGACATGGTTTGGTGGTGGCCTTGGCAGTGCTGCATTAGGGGTTGGACTCGATGATCTTAAAGGGCTTTTCCAACCTTAATGATTCCCTGATTCTGTATAAGCTGGCACTGGGCCACCACACAGATGTGATGGTAATCCATAGGGCTTTTCCCCCTTAAGACCCAAAGGAGATGAGGCATTTCACCCTCATCTCAGAGACACCACTCAAGAAAACTAGTGCAGATTAAAATCCCAAATATTGTCCCAAAGGTTCAGAGCCAAACAGCATTTCTGAGGCACTTTTTGCCTGACATCCACTTCTTGATCTTGTGCTTCTCTTGCACACCTGGTCTTTGTTTTCCCTTTGCAGATCTGGTGTCTCATGAACAGAAGCTGTCGGAGAGTTTGGACTCTGCCTTGACCTCAGCACTCAGCTCCATGCCCTCCTTCACGGCCAAGCTGATGAAGAGCCAGCAGCAGGCTCCGGGCGAGGGAGGCTGCAGCAGTTCCTGGGGTGTGGGCACAGTCCTTGGTAAGCAAAAAGTGCCTCTGCATCTGCTTTGGGAGCAGGAGAGATGAGGAGAACTGGGGCTGGGTTAACAGGGAGGGTTGTGCTGCTGCCCAGCATCTGTCTGTGCCCCTTCAAACCCCTAAACATTACATATTCAATATAAAAATATTTTATTGTCTCTCAGCAAGTTTTACTTCACAATCCTTAACTACATCTCTGCAGTTTTAGTGATTCATTCTCCCAATTAGACCTTGGTGACACCCAGAAAGTGAGGGATGTCCATGTCCATGATAAGAGCAGACTGTGGTATGAGTCTATGATTTTCCCATGTTGTTGGCTGTTGGTTGTCTGTGCTGGCCAAGGACAATCCAGGATGTGTTGTGCTGGGACATGGTGCTCAGCCCAGCCTGCTGCAGGTTAGTTCAGACTGAGGCCTTGGGCTGCTCCCAGAGCTCTGCACTTTGGGCCAAGTGGCTTAAATGTTGCCTGTGTGCTGCAGGGAACAAGGTGGGAAGCTGCCACGTGGGTGGGGAATGAGTCTGGTGTGGAGATGCAGCTGGAGAGGTGTAAATGCAGCAAATACTGTGGCCTTTCAGTGCTTAAAGAGGGCCTGTAGAAAAGAGGGAGAGCCACTTTTTACACAGGCAGATAATGGGAGGACAAGGGGGAATGTTTTAAAACTAAAAGAGGAGGTTTAGATTGGATATTAGGAAGAAATTTTTGGCTGTGAGGGTGGTGAGGCACTGGCACAGGTTGCCCAGAGAAGCTGTGGCTGCTCCATCCCTGGAAGTGTTCCAGGCCAGGTTGGATGGGGCTTGGAGCAACCTGGGCTAGTGGAAGGTGTCCCTGCCCATGGCAGCGGGTGGAATAAATGGTCTTTAAGGTCCTGTCCAAACCATTCCATGATTCTGTGAAATACCACATGGCATCCTGACCCTTAACAGGAACAGCTCACAGCAGCAACATCACATGCCAACCAGCCATGTGTGTGCCCAGTGTCCCATCAAGTCTGAGTGTGTGTAAGCCAGGCTGCTGCGTCCTGGCAGTTTCATCCCACCTGCTGCCTAGGCACACTCATCCAGATGTGTTTGCATCTCCAAATTATTTTTTGGGGTGCAAGGAAGCATTGAGCCTTCAGATGTCCTTCCACAGGCTAATGTCCAGTGCTGGCTTGCTCCTAGTCTTCCCCTGAGAGAGGCTCTGCCTGTTCCTGGCCAAGAAGAGGGTTCAGAGGGCCCAGGTGACCCCGAGGAAGGGCTGGTGCTGTCTCACTCTCTCTCTCTCTCTCTCTCTCTCTCTCTCTCTCTCTCTCTCTCTCTCTCTCTCTCGTCCCTGAGCAGCATTTGCTGTTCCGCCGTGACATTAAGCTATTAAGCTTTTTCCTGTCCCCTTTAAAATCTCTGCCATTTAAGAGCTGACTGAGTAGCCCTTGATGGGTTGTGTGTGACAGGAATGCAGAGTGATACCTAAAGCGACTCACTTGGGAGTCGAGAATTGCTGCTTTTAATCTACCGTTGGAAAAGCGTAAGGGAGGGAGATTTGCCTCAGGAGAAGTGAAAAGCCCTTTTTTACAGTCATCTGTCCTCCATTAAAAGTGTAATGGTGCAAGTGCTGATGTGATCCAGCCCTTTCTGAGCACTGCCTGCCCTGGAACCTGGACGTTCCCTTCCCTTATGGTAGTGACAGAGGAAACAGGCACAATCCTGAGCCGTAAGTGCCTAAGTCCACAGGGAGTGAGGCCCTTGACTCATGGGCAGGATTGGGCACTCAAGGGGTGGCCCAGCATGGACTTGTCACCCTCCCTGACCAATCCACTTCTCCTGTCCCCTTTGCAGAGCACGGCAGGAGCAGCCAGACCCAAGGATGTGCTTTCTGTGGCAAAACCTTCTCCTCTTACTTCAAACCAGAGCCCATTTACCAGCTCCCCTGTGGGCACCTGGTGTGCAGGCCGTGCCTGGCTGAGAGGCAAAAGGCTCCATCCTCCATCCAGTGTGGGAGCTGTAAGAGGTCAGCAGCCACGCACGACGTCAGGAGGGTTCACTTCTGACCCCTTTGCTGCTGGGAGGACGAGACAAGGAGCTGCTGCTGTTCCCCCATGTCCATGTGGAGCTGTAGGAGGATCAGCAATCTGTCAGAAGGCCTTTGGAGAGCTGGAGAGGACTCGGTCCTGTGCTTACAGAGTAGTGGGGGGTGGGGGGTTAGAGCACCGCGCCGGAGCCGGGTGAGCTGAGGATAACAAAAGCCATAGCTTCTTTATCCAGGAATATGTATTTATCCAGGACTGATCTCCACCGCCCTCCCACCACCTCCCCATGCTCAGTGGTTTAGCATAGGTGCCTTTCAGACTGCGAGTTCAGCTTCCCTGGGAGTTCACACCACATCTGGCTGTGGAGCAGGCAAAGTCCTCATGGATGACAACACACGAGCTCTCTGACTTCTCTCCTTCCCCACCTCACCCCCTCCCTGCCGTGCTGTGGGAGCACATCCTTCATCCTGGAATCCAGTGAGAGGCCGTGGTTAAGGTGTGAGGAGCTGGCAGTGGTCTCATCCTGCTCATATCAACTCTTGTAGAAAAGCCATCCCATCCCACCAGACGTCCCTCTCGGTTTGTGTCGTGTGACCAGCCCAGCTCCTGGCTGGCTGATAGACATTTAAGCCTTAATAAAATGTTTAAAGTCAGGTTCTCTTTCTGCCTCATAATTGGTCTCACTGTGTGGCTTAATGATGTCGTGGAGTGAATCTCTTGCAGAGGAGGAATAAATGGACTGGGAAAAGCTGAATCAACACAGAGGAGCTGCAGAGAGGGGTTTGAGAGGGGTTGTGGCTGCATGGACCATCACAGGGTTGAGACTCGGATACCTGCACCTGTGGGGGTCTGGGTTTCAAAGAGCTGATCAGAACAAAGCCAGAAGGGAAACGACTTGGATATGTTCCTCCTGGATATGCTAAGGGTGAGGTGACAGCAGAGGGTTTGTCACCTCCATAACCCCCTGCTGTTGCCACTTAATTGGTGAGCTCTGTGTGCAGAGCAGACGTTCCTCTTGCCTGATGTTCTGTGCCATAATGAGCCTCCAGCTGACTCAGCTCACCTTTGCCAGTCACACCTTTATTCGCTCCTAAAAAGCACCTGCTGGCTGAGCAACTTGTTTCCTGGCACAGGAAGGAGCTGCTCATCTATGGAAACACAGCTTTGTCCTGGCACCACACTGATCCTACTCCCTGGCTGCATCAGTGGGAGTTTATAGCCCATGTCCATTTGGAGCAAAAATAGAAAATAAATGCTCAGAAAATAGCAAAAATTTCCTCAAAATCCCACGTTTCAAAGGCAGCAAAAAAATCTCCTTAATGCAGTGGTGGTGTCATGTTTGCAGTGAGACATCCCAGGGTGATTCATTCAGCACTCACACCTCCTCCACCCTGGATCTCCAGGGAAGGCAGGAGGATGGATGGCTGTGCAGGAGCTCCTGATCCACACAGCCGATGCCTTCACCAGTGCTCACGAAGCCTGGATGCTTCCAGCAAAACCCAAAGCTATCAGCTCAGACAAGCATCTCCACTGCCCAAAGGTTCCTTGTGATATCCTGGTGGTGGGCAAGAACCATCTCCCAAGTTATCTCCAGATTCCCTTCATTCCACAGGGAGGGACATGGAGCAGAGGCTGGAAGTGACAAGGTGGTGTTGGGACATCAGATCCTCCCCTGCTCGGAGGAAGGCTCATCTCCACCTTTTATCAAGTTTCTCAGAGCCTTCATCCCCCAATTTCTCCTCCTTAACCCTGTAGGACCTTTTGGCAGCACATTTCTCCCACTGTGCCCCCTCTTGATGATCCAGGGATGAGTTTCCCTCACCTCAGAGCTTAGGGAAAGGCTGTGAGTCCCCCTGATCTGGGGGCACTGAAACCCCTGTGGGCTGCAGGGACCCTCTCTGCACCCTAGGCTGGGTGGTGGGTGACAGAGCCAGGAATTCCTGTGGGTTTCTCTGCCAGGACCCACAGCAATTCCCTTTAAGCTCCAGTGAAGATGCCACCAGCAAATTTATTCCCAGAACTGAGCTCATCTTCTCCCCAGGAGGTTGGGAATGGCCTTTGATTGAGGCCTGAGCAATTTCCTCTAATGCTCTCCGAGCATTTATCGGACAAATCTAACCCTTATTGGTCAGTGGCCTCCTGGCACGACACCCACATCCCAGCAGGATGGATTTGGACAGAGAAGTGATCAAGGCAGCGCCTCAGCCAATCTTGAAATTGGCTGTGCTTCCTTTAAAAAAGCATCAGAGCTGTTTTCCAGCTGTCATGGAAGCAGAGGAGCATCTTTATCTGTGACATGAAAGGAGGAGGTGCTGTGCTCAGGCAGGAGGTGCAGGATCTCCCTCCCCCATCATCCTCCAGCCATCAACGCTCTGTCAGCCACAGGGTCATGGTGACAATGACCTGCTTGTGACAGACTTATTTGAGGAGCATTAGTCCTCCCAGGCAGGAGCAGGGAGCACTCCCTTGCCAGCCTGACCTGCTCTGTATCCCCCTGGCATCAGTGACACGTTCAAGAAGCTTCTCCTTCCCTGCTGCATCCCCTCCAGCCATGGCAAAGGCAGGAAAACACACAGATTGGTGAAATTCATCCTGTTGTCCATCCTCTATTCTGATGTAATGCTGTCACTCTAATTTACCCTGTTTGAAGTTGGTCACTTGGAGCTTTGTGTGCTGCAGCTGTGCACTGTGTCCTCCACCCCTTCTGCCTCCAAAGGGGCTCTCACAAACCTTGTTGGAGGCTTCAAAGCTAATGAACTCCCACTGTTAATGAAGGATGTGGGAGGTTAGGTTGGATATAAGGAAAAATTTCTCCATGAAAAAGGCTGTCCAGCCCTGGCACAGGCTGCCCAGGGCAGCAGTGGAGTCACTATCCCTGAAGGGATTTAAAACCCATGTGGATGTGGCGCTTGGGGACATGGTTTAGTCGTGGCCCTTGCAGTGCTGGGGGAACAGTTGGAGTCGATGATCTTGGAGGCTTTTCCAGCCTTAATGATTCCATAAGCTCTGTGGCTGAGCCACTCCAGCAGCCCTCAGCCCTTCGCTGATGCCTACAAGAGCTGGGGCCATATTTCAGCTGAGCACAGGGGCTAAGGAGGTGTGTTTGGGGGTGCTGCACCCTCCCCAGCCTGTGTCAGACCTTTGGGGCTTCCCTCACCCCCGAGGGGAGCCAGAGAAGGGATGTGGATGGCAGCGGCTAATGCCACCAATGAATGCCACTGTGCATGTCATTAGGAGATCAGCGCTAATGAAGGGGATCCTCTGGGGCCTTGGGAAGAGCCTGGGGAAGAGCAGGGACATGGCAGAGCAAATCTGGTGCCGGAGACACAGAGAAGGGACCCTGGGACTGATGTTGGGGGACTTGGGACAGAACTTTGAGTAGCCTCAAAGCATCTGTCGGGAGCAGGATGTGGACTGGGGGCCCAGCATCACCCTGGGTACCAGTGAGCATCACAGCAAGGATGCTCCCAGCTGGCTCTGCCTGTGAAACCCATCACCCTGAGATCACTTGTCCCATGACTCTCCCCAAGTGACCCCAATATTTGCCCCTCCCAAATCCTCTTTTTATGCTTGCTACCCATTCTTTCCTCCCCATTCCCAACTCATCCTCTCCTTGATTCCCATAAGTGATTCTGTGTTGTGGCTGCAGAGACTCTGCAACTTGGAAAAACATTTTATTAACCTTCCTTGACTTTAAAGAGCATAATTACATTTTAATCTCATATTCCCGCGTTATCATTCCAGACACAGAGTCATTTGAATGCAGATCGTTCCCAGCTAATGTAATTTTACGATACAGTAATGAAGAGATGGAGCAGGAGTGTGTAACACCCAATTTAGAGCTGACATTTGGGGTTCTTTTAAAGAAAAGTTTTCCGAGCCGAGGGCTTTTGCATCCTCCTTGGCCCTGCAACGTAAGTGGGTCTTGTCTCCTGCTGTGAAGGGATGGATTTGGATGGGGAAACATGGCTGGTGCTAATAATATTAGTCATTAACTCACCCACAGCTGCCCCACGTGGGTGATTCAGCATCACGGGGCAGATCTGGGATCTCACCGCTCCCTTGGTCCCAGGCAGAACTGACTCAGGGGCTGTAGTCACTTTCACCCTTCTTGAGGGGCAGAAATCACCCTCATTTTACCCATCCAAAAGCCTCCAAATCCAGGACTGTCACCCCCCAGGCTGATCCATGCTCTGAAAGCATGAGGCAGGAGCTGGGAGCAGGCTGGGACACTCAGCACTGCTAAATAAAATGCTCCTTCCTGTGTGCCTCAGTTTCCCTTGGAGGGGCAAAGCAATGCTCTGAAGTTCAGCCCCTTCAGCACCTCACCCTGGCACCTCGGGAGCTTTACAAAGTGTCTAAATTTTCTGGGGTGGGTTGCAGTGGGATGACAGTTTCTTTTGGGATGCTTGAGTAGAGCGGCCCCTTCCCCACCCAGGATACCACCACCCCACTCACTCCAGCTGGGACTGAGCCAGTCCAGGGTGCTGATCTAGCAGAAAAGGGATGTTAATGAGGGGGAGAAAATGAGGAACACTAATGAGCAGAGGGGAAGCCACATTCAGCCATTCCAAGTGATGCCCAGGCTGATTTTTATGGTTCTGTGCCTCAATTCCCCACCTTTGATGAAGATGACTCTGGGGTAGAAAACCATTCCCAGAGGTTGGACCATGACTGGCAGCAAGCCCCCACTGCCCAACCCCCCCCCACCACCTCCAGACAAGCTGCTCCTGATCACTATGAGCCAGCCCCAGAGTTCTGGGGGAGGAGGAGGAGATAGATGTTTGTAGGTGCCCAATTCCCCTTTGCATATTAATTTCACATTGCTGAGGTTGCCCTCAGTGTTGCTGGAAAAGGGATCTGTGACCAGAAGGAATATTTGGGGCTGGATGGTGCTGGGTTGGGGGTTGTTGCTGTTGTTGCCCTGTACAGATGTTTCCCACAGCCCATGGGTAACACAAGTATGCTGGATCTCAGCACCTGTGGGACCTGCTAGTTGCCAACAGGATGGTGGGCCCCAGCCTCAAAAGTGCCTTCTTTTCATCTCCCCCTTTCCTGCTGGTTTCCCTGACTTCTTGATTCTTGGAAATGAGGAGGAAGAGGTGGGCAGGACACGGGTGGCAGTGATGGGTCCCTTTGGCCTGGGCTGTGGTAGGGTCCTGCCCTGAAGCCCTGCATCCTCCAAACCAGCATCCCTCCTGAAACAGCATCCTCCAAACCAACAATTCTCCCCAAACCAGCATCTCCCCAAACCAACACCTCACAACCACCACCACCCCACCACCACCACTCCCAAACCAGCGTCCTCCAAAGCAGCATCCTTCAAAGCAGCATCCCTCCTGGACCAGCATCCTCCAAAGCAGTATCTCTCCCCAAACCAGCATAATCCAAAACAGCATCCCTGCCAGACCAGCATCCTCCAAACCAACAACCCTCCCCAAACCAGAACCCCTCCCAAAACCTGCATCCCTCCAAATCAACATCATTCCCAGGCCAGCCTCACTCTGAAACCAGCAGCCCTTCCAAAATCCATCCCAAATCTGCATTCCTACCCAAACCAGCACCTTCTGAATGAGTGTGTGCTCCCAAATCCCACTTCCCTCTCCAGCAGCACCTTCCAAACTCACATCCCTCCCAAACCAGCACCTTCTGAAGGAACATCTGTCCCCAAACCCACATCTTCCCCAAACCAGCACCTTCTGAAGGAGCACCCCTTCCCAAGCACTGGCCATCCCTGGGCTGTCCCGTGCCCCTCGGAGCAGCCACGGGTGGGATTCACCAGCACCAAGCACTGCCGCTCACACTCCTGCACTGAATCATCTCAATTACACATTTGCTTGGATGCGATTTGGGAAAATAAAAAAAAAAAAAAGAGAGGCAAAAAAAAGGGAAAAAAAACAACAAAAATACAACCCATCCCTCTTCTTCCTCCTCCTCCTTCTCCTCCCCTGGGAAGGGGCAATGGCAGCATAAATAGCAGCTGGCTCAGCACGGGGCCAGACGCAGCGCGAGCAGCTTCCCCTGGCACGCGTGGCACAGCTGTGGGCACCTCCACCATGGCAGAGCCTTCGCTGCCCCTCTCCTTCCTCTGCCTCCTCGCCTTGTCCTCTGCCTGCTACATCCAGAACTGCCCCCGGGGCGGGAAGCGTGCGCTGGCCGACACAGCCCTCCGACAGGTACGGGATGGGTTTTTTGGGCGACAGAGGCTTCCTGTCACCTGTAGGCACCACTGGCTGTGCCATGCTCCCTGGAGCAACTTGGTGACCCCGCTTTTTGGGACAGTTGGGGGGCATGCCCAAGGGCACATGATGGGGCAGTGGTGGAGGAATGAGCACTCCGAAATGCTGTTGTTGGGGATCGAGCTTGGCCACAGCAGAGCATCCTGCTTGGGTGGGGGGAGAGGAGACAGAACACCCTCATGGAGTGGAGACAGGGAGGACATGGATGGGACTGGATGAGCTTTAAGGTCCATTCCAACCCCTTAGCATTCTATGATTCTATGATGAGGGGCAGCAGGGATACCCCCAAAGTGGGGCCAGTGCTACAGCACAAGGCTGTGCTGCGGGTGGCAGGGACAAGACAGGTCACTCTGTGCCCACATGGCACCTCTAAGGGCTGGAGAAAGGGACGGTGGGGCGCTGCCTTCTAATGCAAGAGGCTGCAAGAAGGGCGCAACCCCTTTTTGGGGGTACAGGAGACTGAAGCACCTCCTTCCCCCAGTGCATGCCCTGCGGCCCTGGGAACAGAGGGAACTGCTTCGGCCCTGGGATCTGCTGTGGCACAGAGCTTGGCTGTTACCTGGGCACGGCGGAGACGCGGCGCTGCGCCGAGGAGGACTATCTGCCCTCACCCTGCCAGGCTGGAGGGCAGCCCTGTGGCTCCGGGGGCCGCTGTGCCGCGCCCGGAATCTGCTGCACTGCTGGTAATGGGGGGCAGGGTCAGCGGGGTGGGGATGGAGAGTTTGGGGTGATGGAGGATCGTGGGGCGTGGGGAAGTCCTCCAGTTCATCTCCATCTGTCGGGGTTTAACCTTACAAAGGGGAAACTGAGGCATGGAGTGGTGGTGGTGGTGTCTCCATTTTGAGGTAATTTTGGGATAGTTGGATTCAGGGCAGATATAAGGAAGAAATAATTCCCTGTGAGGGTGGAGAAGTGCTGGTACAGGTTGACCAGAGAAGCTGTGGCTGCCCTATCCCTGGAAAGTTCAAGGTCAGGTTGGATGGAGCTTGGAGCAACCTGATCTAGTGGAAAGTGTCCCTGCCCATGGCAGTGGGGGTGGAAATAGGTAATCTTTAAGGTCCCTTCCAACCCAAACCGTTCTATGATTCTAAAGGATTTGGCTCAGAGCTCCTTCCTGACCCACCATCATGAGCTCTGTCCTGGACAGGCACACTCAGCCTTCCCAATGTGCAGGAAATCTGGGCCAACCCTACCCCATGGTTAATGGGAGGGACAAAACTGGAGCACGAGCCATGTGGGCACCCCTGACTGCCACCAACCCCTTCCCCAGCTGAAAATAAACCACTGGGGATCCTAAATAACCTGTTCCATCACCATGTTTTGCTTCCTGTTGAAGAGACCTGTGCGATGGACGCAGACTGCCTGGACGAGGGCAGCGATGGAGACCAGGAGGCAGCAGAGAAGAATCTGACAGTGCTAGATGGCTCGGCTGGAGATCTGCTCCTCAAGCTCATGCACTTGGCAAACCGGCGGCAGCAGCAGCAGGGCAAGAACCCCCTCCTCTGAGCCAGGGCATGGGGTGTCCTCCCCACCCACCCCAATCCCCCTGCCCCAGCACTGTACATACAAGACCCAATAAAACTCCTTGTGCACTGTGGTGGCTTTGTCCTGGGTGCTGGGAATGGGTCATGAAGGGATCCAGGGGACCCATCTGGGGCTCAGGATGGGGGTGTCAGGGGGCTTCATCCCCCCCTTTCCCAATCTCCTCCAGCCTGGGTGGTTCAGCTCCCATCCTCAGTGGTTTGACTGGGCTGGGTGCAGGATTTGGCCCCATCCATTCAGTGCTCGGGAGAAGGAGCTCAAGCAGAGCTGGTCTTTGGGATCCGGCTGTCAATTCCCACCCAGCAGCTCCAATAGCACCCACAGGTGCACAACCTCCCAGCACTCCCAGCCCCAGAGGACTGGGCTGTGCCACCATCACATTACCTCTTGGCCAAGCCCCTTTTTGGGGCAGATCTGGGGCCTCGCTGCCTTCAGGAACCAGCATGACACCTACTAAAAACGATAAAATAAGGAAAAGCACCCAAAACCCCCCAAGAGCAGAGAGGTTTGGGCTCTGAGTCCCATACATCCCCTTGGGCTGGTCTTGTCTTTCCCCACCCTCACTCACCAAAGAGGTCCCCGATGGGCAGGATCAGTCCCAGTTATCCCACTGTCACCCCCCCAGTTTGGAGTACCATTACCCCAGCCCTCTCCCCACCCTCTCCCAGGTCTCTTACCCTGCAGAGTCCCTGCTCCAAGCTCTCTCCGTGCTGGGACTGGCCACAGCACCGGGGACAGCTAGTCCTTTATAGTGTCCCTGAGGATGGTGACACCTCCAGGGAGGTGGAGCTCCCCCACACCAGCAGGATCCATCCTGCCCACCCAGCTCCCCGCACCACACAGGGTGTGCAGGATTATCCCTGCTCCCTGCAACCAGCATCTTATCCCAGCCCCAGGGAGGTGGGCAACCCCAAGACCATTGAGAAAGGGGCAACACCAGCATGGATGGAGGGCTCCAAGCTGGGATGAAGAAATTGGGCTGTTCAGTCCCCTCCTGGCACTAAGCCTATTCTGAGATGTGAACCCCAACATTCCTGCAGCACCAGGGATATGTGGCTGAGCTGGAATGACACTCCAGCTGACGGAAGCCTTGAAATCAGGGTGCTGAGTCCCCCAGAAGCACAAGGGGCTGATAATCAGGTGGTTTTTTTCCCTACTTGTCTCCCCAGGACACATCCCAACCCTGTCCATAGGGGTCTGGACACCTCCAGAGCAGTCACTGGGGTTCTGGGATGGTGCTTCTCCACCCCCACCCTGTGCTGCAGCTGGAGCTGAGCCACTGGGACAGCAGTGAGAGGTGCTGAGCCCCCTTTCCAAGCACTAACATGGATCCCAGTGCCTGGCTTGTCCCCAGGGGCCAGCTCTGACCCGGGTGGGTGACAGGGACCCGACTGCCCTGGTGCTGGCCACGCTAAGTGGCAGATTTCAAAGCAAGCCATAGGGACCAGGAGAGGTCAGGGCTTGCAGGCTCCAGGCTGCCTAATTCCCAATTAAGCCAGTGCAGGGTAATGATTTCAATGGACGTTAAGTTTTGTCTGCGGCAGGGAAATGTATTCAAGCTGGGAAGCTCCTAATTGGGATAATGAAGGCGAGGGGCCAAGGTGAGCAGGACCCTGGGCGATTGCATCAGCCTTCGGCCTCATCCTCAGTGCTGCTCCTCGGGGGGAGCTTTGTCTGCTGATAGTGTGGCCCAGGGCACCACATTCAACACCCATGTGCAGCTCCAAGGAGAAGCAACAGGGAAATTTGGGACTTCAAGGCTTTGCCCAGGAGGTGTGGGGTTTTCAGGAGGCTGTGGTGCTGTTGCATGAACACCAATGGGGACAGGCTGGGTGTCACCATTGCCCCAGAGCAGGATGAGTCCCATGCTGAGCACCTTCCAAAGGTCAGGTACAGGTGGGTGCACAACACAGCATTCCCCACCCCAGATCCCATGGATGATCCTGAAGGATACAGGTTTGCTTCTTCTCACCAGAAGGGATTTGAAGCCAAGGGAAACCCATGCCTCTCTGAACCCACTCCTGAGTGGGCACATCCTGCCAGGAGTTCCTTCATCCCTACTCTCTCCATGCCAGAGGGGCTCCCGACAGGACACGGAGGCACATGCCACAGCACCCAAAGAGGGTGATGAGCAGGGCCCCAAGCCCCAAACCCCATCCGCAGCCTCCACACGTCTCCCCTCGTCACCGCTGGAGTCATCACCAAGGAGAAAACCAACACCTTGGCCTTGACCTCACGTCCTCGACCTCCGGCTATTAGCTGAGCCCTCCGGTGTGGGAAGCAATGCCTTGTGGTTTTTAAGGAACACGGGTGACGCCGGTGCCAGAATCTCTAAGTAGGAGCCTGGACTATAAATACATGGACAGCGGTTGGGATGAGCAGCCAAAAATCTTCTTAGCCCACCACCATGCCCTGCAAGGCACTGGCCCTCTGCCTCCTGGGGCTTCTGGCTCTCTCCTCTGCTTGCTACATCCAGAACTGCCCCATCGGGGGCAAACGTGCCGTCCTGGACATGGACATCAGAAAGGTACGTCCCGGCGGGCTGGGAGCACTCCTGACCCCATTCCTTCCTTCTCCCAACTTTCTTCCCTCTCTCCCTGAGCAGTGCCTGCCCTGTGGCCCCCGGAACAAGGGCCACTGCTTCGGGCCCAACATCTGCTGTGGGGAAGAGCTGGGCTGCTACATCGGCACCTCGGAAACCCTGCGGTGCCAGGAGGAAAACTTCCTGCCCACCCCCTGCGAGTCGGGACACAAACCCTGCGGCACCGGAGGGAGCTGTGCCGCCCCTGGCATCTGCTGCAGCAGTGGTGAGGGTGGCATGGGATCCTGGGATTCGCATCATAGTGTCCTGGGATCCCTATCACAGGACCTTGCATGTATGGGAGGGAATTTGGGGCTATACAGCACAGTGGGAGAGGAGATGATGCTCAACAGATCATCTTTGTCCCATCCATGTGTCTATCCATTGCCCCAACAGCCAGGGCCACTCCACTCCAGGCAGACCTATCCTGACCCCAGGGAAGGGAGATTTTGGGACAGGAGGGAAGCAGACAGCAACCAAATTTTGAGGGATGAGCAAGCACAGGACTCCCATGTGGCACAGCAACCCACACCCCCTCCTGCTTTCATTAGTTTTCCGAAAATCCCACCCTCCTCCCTAAATTAAACTACCAGATCCCACTATAAACCATGGGGAACATCAGGGCATGGCGTGAGCATGAGCTCGTTAAACATCAGCACTGAGGGATCTCTGGGGGCTGGTTTGGGGGGATCTCTGGGGGCTGTTTCAGGGGTCTCTGGGGGCTGGGTCAGATCTTTTGGGGCCATTTCAGGAGGCCTCTGGGTTGCTGCTGTCTGGTTTCACTCCCTCCCTCTCTCCTGGCACAGAGGGCTGTGGGGCCGACTCATCCTGCAACCAAGAAATGCTGCTTGTGTAGCCCACCCGGGAGAGAACCAGCAGGATCCCGAATCCATCACACTGTCCCAGCCCCGCTCCAGGCTGGGAACAGGCGAGCTGAGGGCTGTGACTCAGACTGAAGTGATGAGCTTAATTAGAAATAAAACTTGTACAGAAAAACAATGCAGAAAGAAGTCTGTGGGGTTTCTGTGCTTGCCTGGTTTAGGTGAAGGCTCAGGGCGGGAGAAAAAGCCATTTTTAGGAAAGTGGAAGTAAACACTGAGGATTTCAGGTCAATTACATGAGGGAGGGAAGGCAGAGGGACCTGTAGACTCCGGGTGAACCACAGAAAACTCCAGGTTGGTGCTTGGCAGCCCAAAACCAGTGGTTTGAGGGCAAATCTGAGACTGCAAGACTCCAGTAACCCAGAACTGACCAAAATCCTGATAGTATTATCTGTGCCTTCAGCCCCAGGTGATAAGTGAAATAAGACTGAAGGGGGGAAAACAGATACCAAAAATCCTGGATCATTGAGCCACATTTTCTCATTCAGCCACACCAAGGGATGTGCAAAGGACAGAAAGTGTGCCCAGGGATGACAGATCCCTCTCCAGCACAGCAGAAAGAGCAGGAACAACCTATTCCTTCCTGCCATAACAAAAAAGGAGGGTCAGTGTTTCCTACAAATCCATTCAGCCCTCTTTTGCCTTCAGATGCATCCAGAGAGGTTGACAGCAAGGAGCTGAGAGCCAGGATCTGCCTCAGGACTGCATCTCCTTCCCCTACACATGCTTGGTGTGAAAGCAGGAGGGATCCAAACATGTGGGAGGTGGAATCACAGGCACAGCAACAGGCCCAGCAGGGCTGAGCTAGGCTCCTGGAGCCTCCAACAAGCCCAAGTTTCCCCCTCATCCCATTCCCACAGGCATTAACCCTTCGGAAGCATCACAGCCAGACCTGCAGCCTTTCTCCACCACTTCTGTGGTCAATTTATACATTAAAAAGAAGAATCCAGGTTGGGTGGGGAGGCTCTGGACACAAACCAGGCCAGGAGCTCCATCCCGGGGCCGCTACGACAACACAGTCTGCTTGACGATCCGCCCATCCTTGTCGATGGCGAAGTTGTAGTTGCGTGGGTTGTCCAGGCACTCCTCGATCCGGGCGTCCAGGTTCTCCGGGGTGATGAAGGTCTTGGCTTCCTCCTGAACCAAGGACAAGGATCATCCCTCAGGATTATTCCACCCTGTTCTCAGAGCTCTCACTCAACCTCTCCCCCACCCACACGCTGTCAACACCCCTGGAAGGTGCCAACACTAGTGTTCCCAGCTCCCAACAGAAACACTGCTGGAAAACAAGCCTACAGCTTCCACATGGCTCCCATGGGCTGCCAGCAAACCCCTCGCAGGGAGTGCTGGCAGCCTGTTTCCCAGGAGGCACCAGCTGCTCTTACCTGCAGCTGGAGAATCTCCTTCTCCTTCTCCTTCAGGAAAGCCTCCATTTTCCTGGCCTGCTCCTCTGCAACCTCTAACTTCCTCTTCTTCTCTTCTTCCTCTTCTTTCCTGATTCTCTCTTCCCTGCCACACAGAAAGGAAAACAAACCCTGAAGGATGAGGCAACACCCACGTCTGCAGGCTGTCCCGAGCCCAGGAACCTGCACGTGAGCCACGACCACTGCGTTGGCAGATTTATTTAAAAAGGTCACAATTTAGGTCAAGGGTCTTTGTAAAAATTAAGCCTGTCTCTAACTGGGGTTAGTCCTGCACAAACACAAGTCCAAGCCACGCAGGGCAGTGCTCCCTCAGCTCTGCAGGGGCTGGGCTGACCTCCGTGCTCGCTGCCGGGCGTTCTCGTCATCGTTCCAGGCCATCAGGCGCCGATGCTCCTCCACCAGCTTCAGGGAGTCCTCTCCAGACAGCACTGCCTCGCGCTTCTTCTGCAGCACCTCGGCCCTGAACTCAGCCCTGACAGGAGGAAAGGGAATAGGGAAGGATCAGGGACTGCTGTGGCCCAGTCCTGGGCCACA